TTAATCTGATTTAAAGCCATTTAACTTTGCGTATATAAGAAAGAGAAAAAGCAGAGCTCAAGATCCGATATGCACAGAAGAACCAAATTCTCCATCTTTTCATCACCGTTGTTGATCTTGTTGTTGGTCTTCGTCATCTTTGTTATCAAAATGGCGGAGTCTGTTCCATCAACGGCTGATTCATCAAAATCTGTTCAGATTGTCTACACTGAGAGACCTCAGGATGAGGAGCCGGAGGCTTACCATATCCGAACCCTCACCTCTGTTCTTGGCAGGTAGTACCGTAGGGTTTGTAGTTGTAATTCAGATCCGTATGATTATTTGTGAACTGGGTTTTCACATTTGGTGTGTTTTTTGTATTGTATAGCGAGGATGCTGCAAAGGAGGCGTTGCTTTATAGTTACAAGACAGCTGCAAGTGGATTCTCTGCCAAGCTGACACCAGAACAAGTTGAACAAATCTCAAGTATGCATCTTTTTCTTAATTTCTGATTGAAATGCTTTCATAGGTTAATGGGGTTTTTTTTGTAATTTAGAATATTGTTGTTAGAATGGGAATTGAGCTTATATGTTTTGAGATTAGAAGAGCGTGAAGGCTTTTTTAAATTTTTACTTCTGAAAATCTTGAAGTTTGTTAATCTTCTTTTGTCTTCTTCATAGATTGATCGTCTTGTTTTGACTATCGTGTTCCTTAATCCTTAGGTTAAAGGGGAAGAACTAATTGAGGTTTCTTTCTTTTTAAGGTAGAATTAGATCCTTGACATGGGAGCCTTTATTTGATTATCTTCAAGTTGATGGATTTTTATTATTTAGGCTCTCTAAATAAGAATTTTGCATGAATTTATTGATGGATTATGGATTTCATGAAGTCTGCTTTTCATTAGCTGTTGTGGTATGCTATTGCTTTGAATTATACTTGGAGTTTTGATAAATCAGCATGTGCTTTTCATGATATTACTTTTCAATATCAGAATCTAATACTTGAGTAAATCCTGTTAGCTGTTTGTAATTCTTTATTTGCAAAACAAACCAATTTCAAATGTATATGATGCCTCTCTTGCTGAACGGAAGGAGGCGTGAAATATGAGGTGCATTATGGCTGTTATTGTAGTTGGTGGTTTTGGTTCATGTTTAAGACGGTGTCTGTATGCTCCCGAAACTGTTGAATGTTTTTGACTTTTCAATTACCAATTAGAATTGTGCATTGGATATATTTTCAAATGTCCTTTTTTGCCATTAGCAATGTGTTGATAAATCTTTAATCTCATAACCATGTGCTTGCTTTTCATTGCAGAACTGCCAGGTGTTCTTCAGGTTGTCCCCAGCAAGACACTTCAGCTGCATACAGGACCTGGGATTGGGAAGCTGCATTAAGTATTTGGAACTATGTATCTGACAAATAAATAGCTAACGAAGCCCTTCCCAACTCTTCCTATAAACAAGTTTATCCTGTGTCCTGCACTCCTGTGCACTGTGTTTGTACCGCAAACATTTAGCATATATATAAAGTTCTGGATCTAAATCTCTTCTTCTTCTTTTTTCTGTTTTACATTGCTTTTATACGTTATGAATATGATTGCATGAAGCAGTTTACTATCTGGCATTTTATCTTTATTCACAAGTTTGAGATTCAATTCATTTTGGTATCTGGAGAGGAAGTTGGTCAAAAAAGGCCCTTAGGTTCTATATGTTTTCTCCACTTATTGTCAGCTAAAGCATAAACCTCTACATGTGAATGTTAAAATGTGCCTGGGCAACCATGAATTAAGGTGCATATTATGTCCATTGATGAACTTGACTTGAAAAGGTGGAGACGTGATCTTAAGACAAGTGCAAATTTAGGATTTTTTTTTACAAGCAGGGAAAATAATTATGCCAAAGGACTGCTCCGAGGACCAATTCTATTGGATGATCATGTCACAATAATGATCTTGCCCGGCCAGAGTAAATGAGGTCGACTTCCCATGACAAAGATTGAAGTAGAACAAAATTGTCCCATGTTGTGTTGCAAATATGAAGAAATGCTTCCTTCAGAAAATGCATCTCTCTGATTCCTCTCTTAATCCTGGATCAATTTGAAGACAAGATGTGATGTATAAGATTCCCACGGGGAAAGAGATGTTTCAGCCAAATTCAAGTGGCTTTACTAACTCAGAATTAGAACACAGCAGAATTAGAACACAGCTAATAAAAGGCCTGATTACAAGTCTCTGGACAATCAATGCACAAAGCACAAGCATGTTATCTGAGTGTTGCTGGAGATGGGTTACAAGAGTGCGATTGCACCAGCAACCCCGGCTTTCACACTAGCTATGATGGCAGACGAGATCCCAGGGCAGCAGCATAGCAATAAACAAAAATGAGGACTCTGGCCTGCTCAACCTGATCCCTCGAGTCATTTCACCACAAAGGTGCTGTGACCTGGTTGAGAACCATTTGAGAGTCCAGAGTTTAACAGTGGATGGTAAAGCATGAACATCATTGATCCTTGACTCGAGCAAATTTCAGCACCTCAGAGTGAAGATCATCAGCAGAGGCAGCTGAAAATGTAGCAACAGATCAGAACCATTGATAACCACTAATGAAATGCTTGCATGATTCTGCTAAACCATATGCCATACATGCAGCTGCAAAAAAAGCAAGCATTCAGAGGTAGAGAGCATCTCAATATGATCCAGAAGTATACTTTTCTTCAACCAAATAAGACCTTTCATAAGAACCCCAATGCAAAGAGCCTTTCACACATGATGACAACTATACTGCACCAATAGCACAGAATCTCTTTATTAAGAAATTAACACTCGTATGCGTACGCAAAAGGCAGGCATTACAAGCATCCGATCTAGTATAAACTTTCTGTAAAAGATAAGCGAACAATTAGAGCACAGTTCAAAGACAGGTAAGTTCCCTA